TCTTCTGACTGTTGGAGGACATCTTGCTGCACGAATGGCCCAAAGAGTCCGTGGATCTGACTTGTAAAGCCCTGAAGCGGCGCAGTAAACTGGTCCATGCTGCGCTGCAGCTCCTTCCAAGCTGCAACATGACTCTCTCTACCTCTTGACCTTAGACATGGAGTCTAGATGAAGCAGGACTTGTCTTCACTTTAAGCAAGTATCATCCATCGCGTCTCTAAAGCAGATTCCGTAGATCTCAACTTACATGGCAAGTCCAAGTGCCGTCCTTTAGCTTGTCACCTGTGAGCTGATTGTTCACCTTCAGGCAGGTCAGCTTGAAATTTTTTTGCTGGTGCTCACGCTTTGATCAATGAAATTCGGAATTCGAACCCTCAAGTGTGCACAGCAACCCCCGTCACACTCTCCAACCCATGTCCTCCAAGGGGGCTTTAGATAAGATTCTTGGTTCAGGAGATTTCAGGAGTCACAGGCATTTACAGCCGACAACCTGCAGGTCAAGGGGTTTATCTTCCAGCTGCTCCCTCATAAACTAACACTTCCTCCAGGACTTCTGAGTGTGACCTCCGCTCGGGCCGCATCTAGTGCAGTGCCAAGACTGCTCTCAAGCGCTTGAACGGCAGGGGTCAAGAGTTCCGAGAGCTTTATGCAGAGATCGCAGTTGTGGCGCAGCGACTCACCGCTGGCACCTTAGCGCATGTTGATCTTGAGGCTGCAGCCCCAATCTCCCGTTGCCCTGCCACATGTTGCCTTTCTTGTGCGGAGCTGCTCTTTGGCGATTGGTTCGGCTCACTCTGCATCATGTCGTTGAGCATTGTCATGGTCTTCGACGTCAGCTCCACAGCTTTGGAAATCTTCGCTGTATCATCAAGGACGCCTCTAAGGTCCTGAGAACTCAGCACGCAGCCTTTAAGCCGGTCAAAAGCACGACTTTTCTGGCAATAGGGGCCAAACACTTGCCAAGATGCTTTCATGAATTGGCTATCTTCATCAAGGGAGTTCATGATCCCTTCAACCTGCTGAAGGACGGGAATCCTTGGACAGCAGGATGATCTGCATCGGTTACAACAACAAACGTCTCGTTGAGACTCTTGAAACAAACAAACCTTAGTGTGAAAGGCGCGCTTGGCCTCTACACAAAAAAGAGCAGGATGTCGGCGTTTCTCCCTCTCCCTACTAGGACTCCCTACCCTGTTCCCAGACCCTTCATCGTCAGTGTCCCCCCACCACTGCGGCCTACCCTTGTCATGACTGCGTGCAAAGGATGGCCGGGCACGGGCTGCTTCCAAAACATTTGGGATTTATATTCAAAGCTCTTATTCGGCGTTAAGCCCCAAAACCCTGAAGCCGGAATCCAAACTCCCACTCCGAGTTCCTGAGTGATGCTGACTCAAGTGATAACTGGAGCTGGAACCCGACACTTAAGACGGGCAGCCTACGGCAACAATTTTTAAATATCTGGACATTAGAACAAATTGAATAGGTATCTCATTCGATCTCCGTGAGGGGTCCGGTTTGGCCGCCCAACTTTACAACATCCGGAAGACTACTGTTACCTAGAAGTGTGACAAGACCCCACCCGAACAAGCATTAGGTGATAATGATGATGCTATTTTCACTACCAGCAGTAATGATACGCAAGTACTGCTTTTATTGGTACGAATACCAGTTTCCGGCGGCAACTTGTTTTGCTACTAAACCCGAAGGCCTCCCATCCCCTTGCCTGTCCAAGGAGAGAGAAGAGGAGACAGGAGAGGGGACGAGGCCCGGGCATGGTCATCTTCCGCTTTTCCTGCACGCGGCACCCAATGCGCGCAGGAAAAGTGGAAGATTACCATGGCCCCGTCTGCTCTCCTGTCCCCTCTCTCTCTACTCAAAAAAAGGAGAAGAGGAGACAGGAGGGACGGGGCCCGCATGATAATCTCTCCTGTCCCCTCTCTCCCCTCTCAGAAAGAGGATAGAGAAGACGAGGCAGGAGAGGGGACGGGCCCGCATGGTCATCTTCCGCTGTGCCTGCACGGGCCGGCTCGCGCAGGAAAAGCGGAAGACCATGCGGATCCCCCCCAGGAAGAGGAGAGGAGAGAAGAAAAAGAGGAGTTCCAGGGGAGGGGTGGGGAAAGGGAGGGAGAGGGAGGGAGGAGAGAAAGCGAGAATGCAAAGAGCAAAGGCCCTAAACTCTGAATTCTGAATCCGAACCCATAACCCTAAAACCTAAAAGCCCTTAGCTCTATAACTCTGGACCCTAACCCTGAACATGAAACACACCAAATACTCATTTTACAGTTATTCAGGGGCAGAGTGCTTTGATGGAGGGGATTTTATATACTAATGATTAGATGTATGGAATATCCGGAATTAGATATACAGACGAAAACAGATGCCTCATACTACCTCCGTGGGTCTACTGGGCTGGCCGCATCCTGTATATCTATATGTATTAAAAACATCACCGTATCTACGGAATCGTCCCTCGAGATGAAGGCTCATGTTAGGGCCTATGTTGTGCTCGGCGCAAAGCCTGTTCGAGCACCTGCAATGCCGCTCGCGGGTATGGATTCTAGACAAGTGTCCTGTTGCCAAGTAATTAAGATCCAGGCTTAATTTTGAGCCTGGTTGAGAAAAGGAGCTTGTGGCTGTCCTAGATCAGGGCGACATTATGCTAAGGACCGTCTGGTTCTGGTATGGAGCTTCTGGTGGTGGTGGAACGAGTCGCAACCTCCCGGTCCACCGTCTCACCTGCCCCCATCCACTCCTCTTCTGCCCCAGCATGATGGCAAGTTGGGTCCTGGCCCTGGCCGTGTGCCTCCTTGCGAGCTCTGCAAGAGCCCCGCAACTGCATGACTGCCGGCCAAGCATCAACCCCAGAAACCGCGGATCTTGACTTCCGGAGAGCGTCATGTTTACTATCGTCGCTGAGGTGCAAGCCTTGGCGGCAGTTATGATGTGCGCGCACACGTCTGCAAGCAACCTGCAACATGCTCTTCAGCTCCTCCGACTGGATGCAAGGCAGGCAGCCGTCCGTGCTACGCCGTCTGCAGAAGCGTCTAGGCCACGCAGAGACAGCAACGCCGAGACGACGAGGCCCAAGCCAATGGCTCCTGGCGTGGTGGATTAGAGACTCATTGAGGGTCAAATTGGTGCACCTCGTCTGGGTTCCGGCTATGGACAAAAGTTGCGCAGTACTTAGCAGTTCCTCTCCCGCTTACCTGGGGATGCACCTGCACGGCACAAGCCCAGTGATCAAATATCAAGGGGACATCTTCGAGTCTTCAGAGAACACATGCACCCAAGCACCCAAGAGCATGGCATGAGCTTAGTTTTCTCTTTATTGAACCAGGCCTTTTGCAAGCATCATGACACTGAAAGCTAGCCACACATCACAGCTTCCACATCGCGGCACTGCCGTCAGATTAAGGAAGCAAAAGGAGCCAATGGAGCAGTTGAGAGTCTTGATGAGACCCATCTCAGAGCTTTATCCCGCTTTTGTTTTGTATGCCATCTACACACAAGCTGTATGATACAAGCTCTCCGAGCTGGCCTCTTTTGAATGGATGGTGAATTACCAGCAGGACAACCAATACTCTCCTACTTGAGACGAAGCTCAAGGCCGCTCAAAACATGTGCAGAACGCAGAACAGAGTCAGCCAAAGGTTGCAATACACTAGTTGTACCTTGCGTCATTCCCCCTTGCACGAGCAAACCCCAGAGACCATCCCTGGCCTGCCATGACATCAATCACGCAGCAAAAGCAACAGGCTGCGCTGTCCTAGCACGAGGAGGAGGAGCAGCTTGCAAATCTTGGGGCAATACCACCGGCGTCGACAGCAGCGACAGCAGCGGCAGCAGGGAGACCAGCAGCAACAAAGAAGCCAAATAATGAAGAACCTAAGTTCAAAGGCAAATGATATGCGCAATTTACTGCATTCTTCATTGCCATAACTAACTAACCTTGTGAGATAAGCAAATGTCCAAAAATGGAAGGGTCAATGGGCCGAGATAACACTGTGCCTGCATGCTTCCTGCAGCGCTGTTTGCCTTTGCTGTTCCAAGTAGCACAATGGATGCAACGAGGGGACCCGCCGTCTGAGCGATAAACGCAGGGTCAATCACCTGGCTCTGTGCCCAAGATGTAAACCCAAGCCAAACGCAAATTCCAATCTCAAGTGACAAAACCATCAAGTCCTGCAGTTGGCAGGCTTCGTGGCCTCCGTCGCAAAGGTGCTGGCGAAATCGTCTCCCCTTGTGGCGTTCACGGACTTGAACACTTCCAGGAGGAAGTTGCCCCTCGAAGCTGCCAAGAAGTACTCTCGAGCAGCTTCCCGCTCACTTTCCTCCAACGGTTTGAAATCCTCACAAGCCTCTGCAGCCTTGCTCTGGGCCTGTTCTGCCAGCTCCTTAGCTTGGGACACACAAACAACACCTGTCACGGCGTTTCTTGGGCCATTGCCTCACGCGCCTGCCTCCAAGCCCGGCTATACGTTGCAAAGGCGCATAGTCTTTTGGCTGGATGATCTGCCCAGAAGCCTGAGCAAATGCTGTCCGCAGCGAAAGGAAACAACTCCGAGCCCTGAAGCCGTTCAAAACGGGTGATTTTTACCGACCCAATATCCGAAACTGTATCCTTCTCTAACCAATTGCTGCAGGTAACAACCACGCACAGCAAGGCGGTCAGCGCCCACGGCATCCTGCGCATGCTGCGCACAGCCCCGGAGCCTGCGTTGGAGGGACATGCTGTGCATCAAAAGCAAAAGCTCAACTAGCAAGGCCTTCTTTTTGAAGAGCTCCAGATGGCTGCGAGTAGCACGCGTCTAAGTGCTGAAGCCATTTCAACGGCATAGCGAATCATGGACGTGTCATGATCACATGCCATGCTTCAAGCGCCACTACATGTGCCATGATAAAATCCAAACAATACAACAACCATTCCAGCTGTGCAAAGATATCAAATGCTATCAACATCTAAAGATGTCTCGAGCTTTGAGTGTTAGCTGGCTCTGCGCCTTCTTGTGCGTTGGGAGCGCTGCCTTGCATGTGCAGGTACAGCAAGAGCTGTCTCACCGCTTCGTGTGAGAAGTTGTGATGACTACAGCAATGGCGTCAGCCTTACATGTGCTTAGACTAGCCATGTTATTCGCAATTTCAACAGGTTCGTACCATGATCAATGAAGCAATGCTAAGACACGGCAACACTCGACCCTGTCGTAATCTCAAGTCTAGTCTGGATGCTTCTGACGATGATGATATGCAAAACTGTCTTGTCCACACCCAGAAATAAAAACACCAAAATGTCTTTTTCTAGATTTGCTCGTTGAAGCAAAAAGCTGCCTTTTCCACCTCGTCAGGTTTGTCCATCGTCGCCTGCCCAACAGGGCCCATTCTTTGAAGCCATACCTATGAGCACTCCAGAGTCCCGCGAGCCTGTGTGGACGGGGCCTCATCGGCAGAAGGCCGCGAGCAACTATATTCCCCGAAGGCCCGTGCTCGCAGCACCTGTGCGCTGAGGCTGGCAGCTGCACGGCTTCTTTCTTCCCCAAGCTCAAAATAAAACCGAACAGCCCCAATAGCCCAACAACAGGGCAATTCGCAGTCCACCAAGCGCTTGCGTCAAGCAAGGTGTTCGTCCCAGGTATGCGGTCAGCGCCAGCCAAACATCAACTTATGAGCTTGCGGTCTGCACCTCCATGTCAATCGTCTGTCCGGCCCTCGGCTAATCTTTGCTAAGCAACTCCAGCTTCTGATGTTTGAAGTCACCTCGTAATCTGCGCCAAGGCCCGCGCTGACACCTGCTCAAAACCTGAGGCAATCGGTTGGCACCGGTTGGCACCGGTCTTGCAGAGAAAACACCAATACTTCAGGCTCAACTCTTTTGACCTCTGACACAGGCAGGGCTGTTTCTAAGACTGAGCCACTCCTTCTGCAAGAGGACTCGAATTCAAAAGAAACACATCATGAAACGTGACCTTCACGCTCCACAGGCCGGAGCGCTTGGCTATGAACAAAACAAAGCAGCGGATACATGTTGGTGCACTGCGACCTATGCGACCTTTTCCAAAATTCGACAACTTTGCTATGTGGCCGTCGCTGTTGCATGCCAAACATGACATCCGGTGGTCTACCGTGGCCAAACAATGTTGGCCTTCTTGCGAGTTGCTGCGGAAACAGCATCACTTGGAGCAGGAGCTGAAGGGAGAGCAGTTTGTCACTTCTTTCTGGCTCCATCTCAAGGTTTTCGCAAGGTCTAGAGTCTAGCTTCCAGGGCACATTCTGTGACATCAAAGGTCAGTGCCTTTCGGCAGCACATCCTTAGTGAAAGCTTGATTAAAGGAATGCGAAACTTGCACTTCGTGCAGAGACGATGCATCCAAGTACAGTACTCCACTGCAGGAACACGGACTAGTTCATTGCTTGGCACACCACAAAAACTTACTGTCTCCTTCAACGTTGAATGCTTCACTCCGTCAATCCGTTAAATTTTGCAGGAACCTAGGCCAAGACTTTGAAGCCCCGCCACCTCTTTGGCGACTTTTTGGTAGCAAACGGCATTTCACAGCGAGGTCTGCAGAGTCAAGTTTTCTCCCCACAAACAGACACCGAGAGTTCCATCTGCTTGCCTGCGTGACCTCGTTTCGGACTTTTTCTTTTCCCCTCTGGAGCTTTCTTCACGCTCTGCAGGATGCCTACCAAGGGTGCTTCCACCCAAGAGCGGCACAATACTTTGCGTTGTTGCGCCTGTGGGTCTGCGTATACCAACTTGCTTCGCAAGCTTGGTGAGGCAAAGCTTCAGCTTCCTTACCCTATTTGTTGGTGCCAGCATCCTGGGGCAACAGGGAAAAGCTTGCTTCGTCTATCAGCGAAGCTCCAAATGAGACTTTATCACCTTTGGCCTTTGCCCCATGATGCTGGCTTGGTGGGATTGTGTCCTTTGATTTTGGAATCGGCTCTTCGTGACGATGACTCCGAGCTCCACCGACCGCGTCTTGTTCAGGAACTTCTGATCCATCTGCAGGTGGGAAGGGGGGCCCAGCCTCAAGCAGGTGCGTGATAGGAGTCTCCCAGATTCCAGCCCTCGGCCTGCATCACACGCTCACACGCTACTACGTAGGCCTTGCCCGGGCTGCTGGGGGGCTGCCAGCGGCCGATGGGGATTGTAAGAGCCGTGCAGAAAAAGGAAGCCTAGACTAGTCAAGTCCTTTTCAACCTTCTGGCAAGGCCCTTAGCAGCCCTTGGCCGGCCCCCTGGCAACCCTGGCAAGGAAGAAGCGCGCTTATAATGTTGCAGAAAATGGAGGCCCGGATTAATCTTCTTCACCCTTCTGGCAAGGCCGTTGGTTCCAGGCCGCTGGCTGGCCCCCTGTAGTTGAGCCGCGCAGCTTGAAATGAAGCTTACAAGAGCTGTGCGAGGGTTGATGAGGAGTGGGAATTTCAGGCGAGCGCCAGTCAGGGAGTACAACAACACTTCGGGCTCTGGTCGTGGGATGCGCCGTTGCGACTTATGCCGCCCTGCCCCCCCAACACCCCTTGGGTGTGCGTCGTGGATGTGTGTGCGTCAACCCCAAGCCCTAAAACCCACAAATCCTTACACTCCTAAAACCTCAACCCAGCAATCTCAACTCGTCATCCGTTTCGTGCTTGCCAGCATCCATCCAGCTTGTGCTCTCAATCATCCAGAATCAACAGTTCATCGCTCCTCAAACGACCCCAAGGCCCTGAGCTGCTACCGCCGCTGTGCTTCCGCGGGCTCTTCCGCGGACGTTTTCGTCTAAGGTGCTTCCGCGGCGCTTACGCGAAAGGGATTTCTCGTCTTCGGCGGCTTCAGCGTTATCCGTCCAAAATTGGAAAAGAGCTTCCGCAAGCGAAGTGCTTCCGCGAACTTGCGCGCGCAGTGGGAACCACTTTTCGGAAGTTGTCGCCGGCCGATTTGCGACGTTATTTCCGTTATAATGTTCCTCTAGTGCCTATTTTTAACTGCTCATCTGGAGCCGGGGTAAACATCCCCTTGCCGCAGAATTCCACAGAACTGCCACCCAAGTCTGGTGCTCCAAATGCAAGCTCAATGAAAGGCTAGAAAATTTGAGGGTGCCCTACAAAGTCAAGAACATTTGAAACAAGGCGAGGTTCCAGAACTTCCTGAAAGCTGTGTATGAACCTCGGCAAGCGTCGAGGTTAGCCTCTGTGCCCACTCCAGGACAGACCACATGGATGCATGGGAAAAAATGTTTTGCCAGCCAAGAACCAGTCAGCTCCGTTTTTCACTTTTTCTCGTACTTGGACACCACCTTAGCAAGCAACCTGATGCTTCATCTGCGCAAGACCGTGCAACAAAGAATCAAGTGACGCATGTGGGGCGTAGAGCCATAGAACATGAATTTCACCGTGTACGCTCCAATGCGCAAAGGTGCCATAGCCAATGAAAGCACTGGCAGGGCCATTGGATCGAGCATCGAGGTCTGTTGCCCCGTCTCCAAACATGATCATCGTCTTGTAGCCTTTCTTTCGCTTCCTCAGCAGCAACTGACGGATATCACTCAAAAGTGGAGTGGCTATTGTATACCTCAGGAGTGGACGCCCTGACTGGCGACAACAGACTGTTTGAACCCACCAGACTAGCAACATGTGGGGTTCTGCGGATTGCTCACGGGATAGTCAGACTATTTGAAGGGAAGGGCTGAATGCAACAGGTGTCATCATCTTCAAGACCTTCGGCTTACCGCCAGATGCAGAAGTAGGAGCAGATCGGTCAAATCCAGCATACTTGCCCTGCTCATCGAATAAAATCTCATTCCTTCTGCCAGGCTAGTAATCACCAGTCATGTAATGAGACACGTTGCAGAAGGCCGCGGTGAACCTTACACGATGCCCACGAGGGCGCATCACGAACGTCAAAGAAGGCATCCAAGCCGCGCGTAGATCATCTTTTGGGGAATATGCAACTCCAGCCTAGTGAAGCAAAACGCATTTGGCAAGTAGAAATCAGACACGGCAGTTCGATGCTACGACTGCAGGACCCTGGTGACGGTTGTCCCTTTAACCAATGCGAAGGAGCGCAATTGGCTTGATCATGTTCTGGAAGCCTCCAGATACCAGGTAAACCTGAGCCGGGGAACATATCTGCGTGCAAATGCCTGAAGCAGCGAGATGGCTTTATGCTAGTTTGGGCACATCGGTCCCCTGCTTGTGCAGCATTTTGACGACGTCCTGCACACCTGGCGACCACTTCGGGGCACCTCCATGGCACAGGTGCGGAGTGCGATCGAAACGCACTCCGTTCAACTTGAATTCCATGCGCCCAACTGCAAATCTACATGAATCAATGACTTGAAGAGGTTTTGCAGCTGAGCCCACATGCATAATCCCGCGGCGCCGATACAACCAAACACTCGCCAAAGATTTGCCACTCTTGTTGGACTGCGGCCTTCTGTTTTCACACACTCCTCCAACTTGTCCCGAGTCATGCCATGGTCTGCCATCAGCTGCAAGCGCTCCGCCATGGCATCCTGTCACGCCAGATGGAAAACTCGTGACCAGCATTTTTGAAATGTGATGTAGTTTCTGCTCCTGCAAAGCCTCAAACCTTGCCTGGAACTTCACGTGCCCATTCATGGCTTTGTGGGTGAGCTCCGAAATCTCTTTCATGATGCCGAAGCACTTCCCAATTAAGTCAATGCCTTCTGTTGTGACGACGGTACCTCAGGCTTTTCGCTAAGACGACCTGGCTTCGACAAATTCAATACTCGACACTCCATCCCATCCTGAGTCATGCCTCCTTTTTTGGATCAAGCAGCTATCTACATCGAAGAACACAGCATCCGCTTCTCGCAGCAGGCGCTTCGCCCGTTCCACTGGGTCTTCGCTGCTGGGCTTGCTAAACGCTGGCGAAAGAGGCGAGCCCTCCAGAGCATGATGTATTTGCTCAGGGACGCAACAAAAGGCTGCCTGAAATCATTGACCTCCTGGCAAGTATGCAACAAATAACACGGCTTCTAGTAGAACGCCTCAGGAGCACAGACGAGCCAGAGCATGGCCATGGGCGAAACCAGCCAGAGCCAGGCACAACTCCGACTGCTCCGTCGCAGCATGGCTCCTGAGCAAGAAGACAGGCCGGCAACTCATAGCCTCATAGCCCTCCTTTTGAGGGCATGGGCAGTTCACGACGTCGAACTTGTGGCAGGCAAGAGTCTTCCTGGGTGGATGGCTCAAAGCAGCGCAAGTCCTTTCTAAGGTGGAGTTTGAGCCCACAAGGCGACATGAAAAGATCCAAGCCCATTGCATGATGCATGCGCCCTCATACAGCCAAATCCTAGTACGCAGGGCCGGTCGAGCCTCCTTGACATCATCCGTGCAGTGGATGGCCGCAACCTTGCCTCCACTACCTCCAGCAAGCCACAGACGCAGCTCCGCCAACATAATACATCAGCGAGCGCGGAGATGTTTCGACATGTTTCGACTAATCAAACAGCAGCAGGGCCCAAGACAAAAAGCTCGACAAAAAAGTGAGATTTGAAGCAGCAATTCAAACTCTATGTACACTTGAAATCAATATGTCTGAGGCTGCTGGCGGATGGTCAGCAACACCTTGGTAGCAAATACTCGCTTGCGGGCTCCTCAAACAAGATCGGTCATCTAGCGCGCGGTTCCGTGGTGAAATTAGCACAGCTAAACAGAAAAGTAGCTGCCGCTATAGCGAAACATCTTCAGAAAGCGCGCTGCGTAGTGTGCCATCAAGACTTTCCATGAAATAGTGTTGAGCTCCGTACATCTCCGGGCACCAGGTTACCACCTTCGGTGGCACCGCCAAAAACTCAATAACAGGCTTCTCTTGTCGAACACTGAGACAAGAGCCACCATCCGGCCTGCGGTGCATTAGTGCGTGTCGACTTGCTTTTATTGCATTGCTCAGACTTGGTTCCCAAGCCTAGTCTGCACATTGCCAGTGCTGGCCTCTTGCAGCCGAATCAACAAGCAACTTTTGCAAAAAGCCGCAAGCGCACAAACTTGCCAGTTCCTGGAGGCCTCTGTGGCGACCACAGCACCGCTCCGCGGCACCCAGGCCCTGCTTTTTTTGGCTCATCATCCCATATGTTGGAGAACTGAATGCTAGGGTTGTTGCGGAGGACGACCACAAGCACAACCTGAAGAGCTGAGGCTTCAGTAGGTCACAGGATAACACTGGACTCTGCAGTGAAGCAAGTGGGTAGCAAGCCACAGTCAGCACAGCTGCCTGGCCACCTCCACCGACACATCGGCAAAACTACCAACCACTGGCATATTAACGGTGTTCTGGCTATTGTATACTCGTACTTGTGCTCAAAGTAAACTTGGAACACAGATCCAGAAAAGGAGGTGCGTGTGAAAGCGAAAGCGACATCAGGTTTCTGTCGAACTCACCGCATAGAGAAAGATGACGAACAAGCAGGAACTATAAACAGCAATAAGCGCATCAGTTGACCCACCTCTCCAGGAGAGCAGCATCTGCAAACATCTCCAACCTGCAGATGTTACAAACTCATCGTCACCGGCCTAGCTAGCAAAGATACGCACCACAAGAACGATGTCCATCAAGGAACGCGACAGGAACCTCCTAGGCCTGCTACTCAGGAAACTAAACAAACAAATCATCCTCTGCAATGCGGCATGCTCGGCCTGGTTTTTGTCGGCACGAACGGCACAGCCACAGCCTGATGGGCTTCTGAGCTGAGCTCTCTTTTGCTTTTTGCTTTGCTTTGCTTCTTTCTCCCGCAGACCCAGAGCTCTGTCAGCGAGCTGAGCTGAAAAGAATTTATGCAAATGCAACGGCTGTTCGATCTCATTGGACTGATTCAAACTCATCACTGGACAATCGTAGCGTGCCGTTCAGACCCCTCTTGCTATCTCTTGCCCATCATAACCGAGCACCCTGAAGCCCCTTATCCCGTCCTGTTGAAGTTCGTAGACAATCATTGCTAATATCATCCACGAGGAGTTGCACCCTTGCAGCCCCTCTTGCCTTTGCATTCCATGAAGCAACCCAAAAAAAACGTGCAACGGGCTTTGCAGAAATGAGCAGACTCCCCAAAAATTCCCAGGCTGCCCATCCACGCCCGTTGCCCGTCCCCCNNCCCCCCCCCCCCCCAGGTTTCAAACCAAATCCTGCCATGTTGGGTGGGGCCCTTCAACCTGGGCTCCAGTTTGCGGATGGTTTTACTGTATGAGGAAAGGAGGGACAGGTCGGCACTCCTTGCGATGCAGTCCAACTTGCTGCATCTGGATTGAGGAACTAGCCCATTAACCTAGTGACTGACACTTGCAAGTGCAGCAACTGGGCAGCTCCAAGCCCCCGATCACACTGCCCTGTGCAGACTTGAAAAGATTCTCAAAGCCAGGCAAAACAGGAAAGTCAGCTCCAGGCATCTCGGGGCTCCTGATCACGCAATCTGTTCTTGCCCCTGCTGAATTATGAAAGCCAGCAGGGTTGACTACGAAGCATGCTCAGCTGCTGAGATATCACTGCCTTCTTTCGTAGGAAATATATGCACCTGGGTATCAGCAGCATGGCACAAGCAAGTAGGTGACTAATTGGCCTTTCTGCATTCTTCGGGCCCGAGCAGAAAGCAGCACAGGAGCAACAACAGCACCTTGCCAACTTCTACAGCTTCTCATGCAACTATCACGTCTGTCATCAAGCACTTCCATCAATGAACGAATGGTGCAGGGCTACATGGCATGTCAGCAACTCCAGCATCACAACCGGCGTTAATTTCGCCTGTGAAGTTTGGCTTCAGCCCCGTGTTTGTGACTGCCACGGGAAAACTGCAGCTTTGAGAACACAAACCATCACAATTCAACATTGACTTGCACTGGCCCCACAAAGGCAATTGAGAAGATGCCTGCAAACGCTGTGGATGGCAGCACTAGAAACGAGTTACTGAATGGGGAGAAACTGAGCCCACGACCAGAAGGATCAGCTGCAAAATGGTCCACCATGCGAAGTCCACCGGCTCCTGCCCACGCAATGTCTACTTGCGAGCCTTGTGTGCCCCGACATGTAAATCAGCCGACATATTTGCAGTCCGAAGTCCTTGGGCTTGGGCTCTTCTGTGACGTACACCTGCAAGTGAGTAGTGCCAATCAGCTTACACAGATTAGCAGGCATTGAGTTGCTCCAGTTGATGAACAAAACTGAGGCCACAGCGTCATACAAAGCGTCTTCAATCTGATGGGAGGCAGTTGCTGTGCAAGTTCTGTGGGCTGTCGATTAATTGCTAATTGCCAAGGGGTCTCTTTGACACAGAGCTCGAGCTCTGCAGGCCAGCAAGCAAGGCTCCGGGACTTGTAGCGTGGTCACACAACAAACCAGTCTGGGGTATGTGCCAGTGTCGACACGACGCAGTCAGTGTAGCGTTCACACCGGTCCAAGGCCTTGCTATGATGCCACAGGCTGGCTAGGTGAAATGTTTTGACTGCACCTTTCAAGCAGCTGCACAGAATCCTTTCAAGAGTTTCCCCGACCGCCATCTTTAGGCTTCAACGCCACATCTCTGGTAGCAGGCAGGCATTTTGCTCAGCATCCGGCCTCCGAGTACACGAAGCACTGACAGGACCTAGCAGCACTCGTTTTGCTGGTGCTCTCCCATCCTAATTGTGGTCTAGATGAAGACAGTGCCTCCATTGCACAAGTGCTGCAAACCCCTTTTTGGCTTTGATCTACTCATTTCCAAAGAGACGCTGTATCCAGCCTGTTGCAATGAAACACACATGTATTATTCTTCACTTGCAACTGCACTTCCAAAGATTCCATGGTCCATGCCCGGAGCTGATTCAAGTAAGAAGCATTACGGCTACCATGAGTGTTGTTGGTGACGCTCTAATGTTCACTTCACGTTAAGTACTGCTCCCAGCTTTTGTCAAAATCCCACCGCCGGAACATAATGATAACAACCCCCCCATTTATAACAAAATTTCTTAAAGATGATACTTTTTTCGGGATAACGATTTTACTTAGATGTTAATTAACTGTACATAAGTTTTCAAACTTGCATGTTTTGTATTGTTATTCCGGCTCTGTCCCTGAACGGAGATAGATCAATCGAGCCGGGGGGGTTTATAAAGGCAAAGTGAACAGTTCTGCTTCTGCCTCTTCATACAATGCCTCAGTGCGAAGAAAAAGCTCAGTGCTGCACTTGCTCAGTTCACAGCGTCGTTTGCACGACTTCAAGGTGGTTGCGCCTGCATCCTGACATCGCGAACTTGTTTGGCTGGCCTTGCCGTGAATCTTAAACCACCAACAAAAGGCGAGCACGCCCAAACCAATGTAAGACCTAAGCTATCAGCAACCACGTGAATGGACAAGTTCATTGCTGTTGGTGAAGCCAGCTCTGTTTTGTGTAGTCCTCATCATCTAGCCGTAGGCCAGTCCTGGCATCATTGCCCAGCTGCATCTCAAATGTGTCACTAAATCCACTAGGATCTGCGTCTGGATGAAGACCCGGTTTATGCAAGTTGTTTATTTTGCGGGTTCCAAAAGCCTTCGCCGTATATTCTACTTACGTGGCTTGTTTTGAACTGTGCCGCGCACGGCGATGGCGAAGCCGTTGGCTAACAAAATTGGCCACCAGCCACCAACATAAAAACTAGCATGACAACCCCAATGGTTTGGAAAAATGAAGCTGCTAAGCTAAAGCTTGTGGAATTGAGAAGATCACGTCTGAGAGAGCACCGAAACAAAAAAATGTCCCCCTTCTGTGGCATCTGATTTTTGGTGACTGCCCAAGCCCCGAGCCCACAGGCACACTAAAAAATTGAGCCCTCAATCTCTTGATCTAATTTTGGGATTCTGGAGCTTTGAATGTTGAAGATTTGCGTTCCTGGGCCACATGTTGAACAAATCTGCCATGGGGAGAATATTGTGTTGTGCTACGCACAAGTGCCACGCCTGCTAGTATCCCGCAGCCACCCACATGCATTTTACGCAGGGGTCGGAGGGGTAAATTTGCTCGTCGGAAAGCTAAAACGTGGGTTTTGCCTGCTTGGTCAAGAATCCAAATCTTTAGGGTCACCAACTTGAGTTATTGCGGGTTGTTAGTGAAGAGAAGGGCCTGAGTAGGGCCTGAGTAGGGCGTTCATGTCACAGAAAAAGAAAGATAGAGAAGCGCTGGCTTCTCCGGATCGGATCTTGAACTTGAAACGTTTAGCCCTCTGACTAGCCCGTTACGGCAGACAGTGTTCAGACGGAAAGCAAAACAGAAGCAGGCACGCACATCGCCGCACATCCTTTGTTTTGCTCTATGCGATATGTCCCGTGGCAGAAAAAGGGCAGGGACAGGTTTGTGTCCCTGACAGGTCAGCGCCAGGCGGGTATTAACAGGAACGTGCAAGTGCTAACTACAGGCAGAGTACCGGCTGGCTGCATCCACAGCCAAATGCCACCTCAAGAATCGTACAGTGGATTGACCCGCAGGGAGACAGATGCAGTCAAGACGCCACCCAAGACAGTGCACCAAACAGAGAGCGAATGTAGGATTGCTAGTTTCTTTGCTAGGCAGGCTTGGTGATGGCAACAGAACGTGAATAGCAAAGCAGGCGCAGAGCGGCCAGCAGTCAAGGCCTCTCGTCGACGCTGTTGCTCCAGCCCAGCAATGCAAAGGTTGACCGGTAGAGAGTCTGTGCCTCAGCTATAATCTAACTCAACGCAAAGCCGGTAATGACCCGTGACTGAAACTCCAACAGTAGTAAAGTGTAAGTTGGAAGTCGGGTTACAAGAGACCAAGACTTTCAGAGGAACTGCAGACCATGCCCGTGCAAGGGATTCACCCCCCACTTGTTCTTCTGGCTCAGCCCCAGCGAAAAGGACACTCCATCGCAACAATCTGCTCCAATCCAGGCGGATAGATTTGAATGACAGGCAGGGACGCAAGAGCAGACCAGGGCGGTGAGCGGGCATGCTCAGCTAGGAAACCTAGCTGCAGAGGATCAGAGTCCCGACTGAGCTTGTCGGCCAGGTCATTGAGAATGCCAGGAATGTGATTGGTATGAGCAGAAACTCGACAATCCTCCTGGAAGTGCAGAAAACAGCGCAACAAATGGCAGAGACCTCTGGCAGTGGATACGCCCTTCCAGGAGCAGACGCAGCAACAGCATTGTCACAGGACAGCCAGACCAACGTGATCTGAGCCAGCAGCTCCCAGCAGAGTCGGAGAAAACCAAATGACCAGCGCAGTCAAGTCAGACCGAGAAAACTTGTGCTGGAAGAAACAAGTGTGACCGCCAGGAAAGCGGACAAAACCGCCCAGACCAGCAGAGGCAGAGTCAGCACAAGCATCGGCGCAGGCCTCACACTGTAAAACAGGGCTACTGCAGCGTGCAAGGGACGGGGCTTCCAGCAAGTCCAGCCAGAGACGAATGACTTCCTGCGAAGCCTGAGAGACAGGAGGATCATGCCTGCTTTGGTCCACACACGGCGAGATGCGATGGGCTGAGCAGGCAGATCAGCCAGTGTGTGGACAGAGGAGCTGGCCACGGCCATGATCTGCGAGCCGACAAGCAGAGAAGGGATGCAAGGTCACACAGAATGACCAACTCCTGGTCCAGATTAGAGCGACACAAGTGCCACTGCTCCGGGGTCAGGGCAAAATGGACAGGGATGGCGAGGACTCGTCCGCATACAGAGGTGTAAGGCTCGGGCGGAAAGCCCTCACAAGTGCTAACAGCCAGTTAAGCTTGCCCATAAACTTTTCCAGCGTGACAAGAGGGCGGGTTTTAAGGCGGCGGACGGACTTCAGCAAGGCAATGAGGCGGGCCTTCTTGCCGTCCTCCATATCAGCAGTGAAGGAGTCCAGGCAGATAACCCATCCAATCCAAACTGGAGTGGATGAAAGAGAAGCTGTGCGCCAGCTCATGGGCACTCTGAGGATGCATAGGAGGATGACGAGGAGGGTCGCAAGGACAGGGCTGGCACACGCAGACAAAGGCAGATGAGGTCCTCGACATAGATCAGCAGAGAGTGACCAACGTACAAGAGCGATGTCCCAGCCGAGTCAGGACACCAGCCAGACGGGACCAATAGTACCCTGAGGCACGGGCGCCAAAGTTCAGAGTCAGGCACTGGTACGGATAAGTATCCGTCTGCGCGCTTTGGAAACATCCAACACACGCGCACGCAAACGTTCCTGAGCAGTGTCAGATGGAAGACACACGCGGAGGTGGTTCAGGATAGGGTTGGCCGAGCGGTTAGGCAGGCGAGTGTGGGCCGTGACACCAGTGACAGAACTATCGACCACCAAGCGTAGCGCGAACACAACGCCCAGCTTGCCAACAGCAGACTTGGTGTATTGGCTCGCCAGGGCGGGCAGGTTGCCAGGGACAGGGCGAACGCAGCCTTCAAGCAACCTCAGAAGCCAGAAGGTCATCAGCTACCTCAGCATGGTCAAAGGCAGATTTCTAAGCAGAAGTGCAGCGCTGTAAGGGTTCTGTGGGGTCAGACCAGGGAGGTGCCCCACCCAGAGTAGGACACGGTGTCAAAGGTTCGTCAACACCGAGTGGAACGCCCCCAGGCAACGAGTCCAGGAAGCTGCGGTCAGGGTTCCAAAAGGCATCGCGGGCGCAGGAGTCGAAAGGGTTGGTTAGGGGGTACACCGGTCTTCCCGTTCAGATCTGACTGCAACGGGACGAGCACACGCAAGTCAGAAAGGAACGGGGCCAGATCCTCAACAGTGCGTTAGCCCTGCTAACTAGCCCACCACCAACCTCAGGATCTCCTCCCAAGGTTTCCCGGTGGAAACTTGTTTTGCTAGCGTAGGCTAGCTAGGAAAGAACTTCAAGCAACGTTCACTTGCGTTAGCACTTTACTTGCTACCACAACGGCAAAGCCCTAGCTAAAAACGCTCCGTTCTTTTTAGCTTGGCGGCAAAAGTCCGCTCACTGTAACTACGGAGTGAAGCCTCTAGCGACCCGCTAGCCATCAACTCCTTGTAGCCCGAGAGAAGTCTCTAGCTTTCAGCTAGCCATCTCCCACGCGTAGCCACAGAGGGCTACCAGGGCTTTAGCTTACGGAGCTTCTCGGACTTTCTGACCTTCAGAGGTCCAGCTTTGCCCTGTCGCTTGAAACGTAGCAGCTCCTGGTAAAAACCGTTGGCGTGTTCTAGGAGTTTATCCAGCACTCGCCACTGGATATCTCTCCCTTTCAGGGGAATCCGAAAATCGGGACTAAATTCTTTAAAGTTCTCGTTCGTGAGGTCATCTGCTAGCTGGTTAGCATCCCTCCTGATCCACGTCAGGCCTAGCTCGCAGGACTTGAACGCCAGCTCTTCGGCTAGCTCCAGAAGAATTAGCGTTGACGGAAATTTGGTAGTCATCGCTTTCTTAAAAAGGGCCTCGTTGGACTGATTGTCCGTGTAGCCTCTGATAGCTAGCTTTGAAACTTGTCGGTCCTTAGAATCTGGGGCCCAAAGTTTCACGCCTATCAAAGTCGCTAGCAACTCTAGCGAGGCGATGACTTTGTTTGGGCTCTCCTTGGAAAAGGCCCAAGGTGCCCAATCTCTCGTGACCTCCAGAGAGAACCACGGACCGTGGCACCCACACACTATCTCGCGGAAACCTCGGCCGTTTTTGGCCTTAGCATCCATGAAAAAGACTATATCTTCGTCTCCCGGAGGTGGTCTACAAGGCCTCTGGAGACGATCCCCTGTCTCTAGCCGGTCCGCCAGCCAGCAAAAGAGGACCTTGATCATTGCCGGAATCTTCATTAGTCCAGCCTTGCCCTGGATAGCTGCCGACCAACCATATAAAGGGCCCAGGGACGGTCTTTCCCAATCCAAGGAAATAGCAGCGAAACCTAGCCGTCCCAAGCTTTGGGCCATTTCTCTAGCCGTGACCTGGCCCTCTCTAACTTTCTCCCTAGCCAGTTCACTAGCCAGGAAGCTCGCTTGTACGTGAGGCCTAGCTTGTAGCTGGAGTACTCCGTCTCCATCCCTAGCCTCCACCTTAAAGCCCCCTCTAGTCTTGGCCCATTTGAAGGGGTAGAGGACGACGCCTCCTATCCTCCCTCGAGATGTCGTAGCTAGGGACTCCAAGTCGTCCGCGTAGAGGAGGAGGTCCAGAGGTAGCTTCTCTAGCAGGTGGTGGGTGGCCGCCGCTATCCTCGTCCACCAGTAGCTAGCACAGTTGACCCCGAAGGTGCCCACCTTGTTGACGTAGACGATATCGCTAGCTTCGTCTATCTGGCAGCCCAAGAAGCCATGTTCTCTCTCGCAATGCTTGAAGCGCCTGCGACCTTTTGAGATGTCGCCCACCACAGAAAAGGCGACCTCCCCTCGCTCCATCATCTCTAGCATCTAGCAGTAGCTGTTTCTTTTCTCTAGCTCCAGGGGCTCGCAGCTTGGCACGGCAACGTATACGGCGGTTAACTCTCACCCCATGAG